TTATTTTTGAATGAATGGACTTAGCAAAACTTATCGCGCGATAAAGTCATTAAACTTTTTGTAGGCGGATGGCCCTTGAGAGCCACCATAGTGTTTTGAGTCAAGAGAAAACATCTGGCTTAGTCACATGCAGCATAGTTCTGTCGCTTAAGGTGTATTTTCGCCGATAAAAAAAGGAATCAAAGACACTAAACCTCAAGGGCGGTTTCAGCTATGGAAACGAGTAGCTGTACGACGGATTTGCTTTGTTTCCATAGCTCAAACCGCCCTTGTGCCATCCCAAAATCGGTTTCCAGTTCCGGTATTGGAAAACATTTCGCGCTCTTTTTCAAATTCACCAGAAAACAATATTCTGATGTCTTAGTTTCTTTAGTGGAGTATATTTGGGCAATGGCAGGCAATGCAGATGTTGCATCTCATTTATCGGAAATTTTCGATGTACATTTATCCAGCAAGTCCGGTTACGTTTACCAATCTTAAAGTATCATGTATTACATAACAGTTATCTCTGAAAATAAGTTGTGGCTACCGCTAGTTTATTCTAGATTCCAAAAGCTTTTGCGTGAGTCTGTTTCTCATCGGAAATCTTGAAGTCCAAGCTGCAAACAACAACAACAACAAGTTTATTTGGTAAGGCAGGTTACTTAAATAGGCAAGACAAGAAGTCCTGATGTGGACCTGCAGACTAAATTAACATTATAATCACAATTTGGACAGGAAATCTATAAATATAAAAATTCAAAGATACAAAGTGTATCAAAATACTGTGAAAAAAAAATACTTTGACAGCATGACTTGTGCTTATCATTTCTTTACTGACTGAACACTCTCTCGGGAAGCCTATTTAAAAGTTTTTGGAAGTCAAATTAGAGTAGTTCTATTGTAACTGGAAGACTTGACTTAAGTAGAAGTGGAATGTTCAGCTTCCATTTTCAAAGGCTTATTTTATTGCAGGTCTCACATTTCCATGACTTGTTAGATTCTACAGCCCAGGGTGGTATGTTAACAGACTTAAGGTGCCAGCAGTCATTGCAGTGGTGACATTGTACATAGGCGTCACCAGTAGGAGGAGGTATGATTGATATGGCACGCGGAAGAAAATTCAGTGGTAAACAATAAATACACTAGAGTGTTTATGTCTTGGAACTATCGGTCTGATAGTTGTCCCTTGGAAATTTGATGTTCTTAAATCTGGCATATTTGTTTTAATAACATCAAATTTCTGTGGGGCAACTATCAGCTGATAGTTCCTTGACAGAAACTCTCTATTGTTTAAATATCCTCCAGCCAGACCATAGAAGAGGTATAGAACAGAACTTTGACACACCAGACCCTCTATAGAATGAAACAATTTCCAAAGTAGCACTTTGAGGAGTTCCACTCTGCTCTGAATTTTCTACTTGAGGAGATGTATTGATATGTGAACTCCAGTTCTTGTCTTTTTTTTTAACTTGTTTACTCTTAGTGCCACAAAATAAGTGTTTTAAATTATTTTTAAATATTCCTTTTTGGATTTTAGTGTTCCTTGCACAAGTACAACTTACAACCAATGACATATGAATTAGAACAAGAACAAATGACACTTGAATAAAGTATTCACATACTATTTGCTTGTCAATGATTATTTCTTGTTTTATTTCTGTTTAAATGAAGGTGGGTGTTGTTTATCACCTCCTCCTCCCCCTCCTCCCCCTCCCCAGAAAAAAAATTGAAAAATTTGTGGGAAATTTTATCATGATTAATGACTACTGAGTAACCCATACCCCTCCTGCAGTTTCATTTCTTTTCTCTTTTGTTTCCAAGCTTTCTTCCTGTCTTTTCCATTTCGACAGTCAAAATTTTTTTGCCCCAAAGCAAAATATGGTATGGCATCAAATTTCACTTTTTGGTCTTCCCACATGACTTTGTATGTTGTAGCTGATGGGTCTAACACAGAACTATAATTTAGTGTCTGCCAACAAGTGATTTTGTCACTGGGTATTCTTATCCCTCATAATGTAAATTATAACCCAGTATTGTAAAGATCATATCAGAGAGTTTGTTGAAACATGTACAAGGTCTGTTAAGCCCAGAGGGGCTTATGGAATTTCAGACCTCATTGATGGGGGGTTTATTTGAAGGGGAGTAATAGTGAGGGGAGGAGCATGGAGGGGAGGGAGGATGGGTGCTTCGATTGTAATCTAAAAACTAGCTATTCATCTTAAAATATATCTTTTTTTCTAAAAGAAAATTAAAATGTAACAGATTGATTGGTGATGTATTGTGCTGTTCGTTCTCCCAGTGCCTTTGTAGAACTAGACCAACTGAGGATTTAGTTGGTCCGCTTTTATAGTAAATAGATTGGAGAATATCACAGAATGTGGCTTATTTGCACCGTCAGACTTACCGATACTCCCAAAGGGTGAGTTTGTACACAACTCCCATTCTTTGACAGTTTCGTCGATCTTGTAAGATTGGTAAACGTAGCCGGACTTGCTGGATAAACGTACATCGAAAATTTCCGATAAATGAGATGCAACATCTGCATCGCCTGCCATTACCCAAATATACTCCACTAAAGATACTAAGACATCAGATTATTCTTTTCTGGTGAATTTGAAAAAAAGCGCAAAATATTTTTCCAATACCGGAACCGGAAACCGATTTTGGAAGGGCAGAAGGGCGGGTTAAGGTGGCTCGTACTAGTTTCCTCACGAGGGGAACTTATAACTCTTGCGTCACGCGCGAGAGAAACGTGCGAAAGACGCGCGAGATTAAGGAGGCTCGAAAGGGTTTTTTGACCGCGGGGAGAATGGATTCCAAGATACACGCAAGCTTATTACTCGCGAGAGAAATAAGCGATGGCGCGCGATCAGATCCGCGGGCGAGTTGTAAACAAACATGGCCGCCATGAGCGTTTCAAAATTGCCGGGTACCTCTAGCACTATTGTTTCCAGCGGAAGTGGTTATTTGAGAAACAAAAATGGAAAGTTTACCTCTTGAAAGCAGGTAGGAAAATGTTCGGATGGCAGGGTTCTTGCCGAAAGTGGTCAAGAAATTTTATTTAACAAGCTAAAGGAGGATGGTGAAGTCGACACCCCATCAATAAAGTCGTGTCGAGTGCATTCGGTAGGTCTTAGTTTGTTCCGCGAGAAATTTAAGTGGATACCTCTGAGTGCTACGATTTGTTTCGCATTGTATTTGAATCCTAATAAAATGAAATGACCGAGAACTTTCCTAAACAACTCACTGGAAGATGAAAAGGAAAATGAAATCATTGTTGGATCCAGGATTGTAAACATTGACAGTTTTATCAACAGAAATGGAGAAGTGTAAATGTTGCTGTAAAAATAAACATAATTTTCTGTAAACAAGGGATCGTAAAAATGTAGATGAGACTTTAAATTAATTCTAATTAACAACAGACGGTAAAATTAAAATAAAATCATCTTAAACTTGTGAGAAAGATTGTTGATATTTCCCTCGATACACTGTAAATTACAACTACGAAAAGGCAAACTCGCATTTGTTAAGAAAGGATTGCAAAATTTGTTTTGTTTTCCATTTAAAATGGAATAATGAAAGTTCACGGTTATGGCAGTGGCAAAGAGAAAAAAAANTAGAAAATTCTACGGAAGGAAATTTGCGACGTGTGAAAATTATCTTTTTTCTAGATTTTCTAAAATTCCGCTCCGTATAATTTTTTAAAAATTTTTGTGCATTTTCCTTTTCAAGTGCCAAAAGCAATCACTGAAAAAAATCACGGGGTCACCGGGTTAGCTTTCGAATTATTTAAGCCACAAGCTAAAAATTGCGTCTGAATAAGCCTATGAAAGCGTTGCCATGGAAACTGCTAGTGACGAAATGACATCTATTTTTGGATAACCAATGATTATATAATTCAACCCCGTAAAAGTGTTCAACTGGCCTTGGTCAGTCTTTCTGTTGTATTCTTTCAAAGTTACAAACCATCAAAAAGATGAAAACCGGTACGAGCCACCTTAAGCTATGGAAACAAAGCAAATCCGTCGTGTAGCTACTCGTTTCCATAGCTGAAATTGCCCTTGAGGTTTAGTGTCTTTGATTTCCTTTTTTATCGGCGAAAATAAACCTTAAGCGACAGAACTATGCTGCATGTGATATTTACTAAGCTAGATGTTTTCTCTTGACTCAAACCACATACGAAGTAGACTTAAAACTTGCGCACAGCAAAGAACAGGGGACGTTCGGAGTCGTAAATCGTCCATCGGTAGTTCGGCGCTAATTATATTCCAGTGATTTAATTTCAATCCCAGGCACCTCACGTCCAAGGGCAATTTGAGATATGGAAACAAGTCTTTACCTGGGGGGAAAGGTGAGTGCGAGTGTTGTGTAGAACTTCTTGAAAATGATGTAAATGGAATGTTATCGAGAGCTTTTTTCGCCTATTTACATCTTGACGAACTTGTAGAAATTCTTGTGTGTATTAATAGTCGAAAAAAATAGTTTACGGGCGAAGCTATCGCAAGACTTTTTTTATTTTGAGCGATCGACTGTTTTCGCAGTGTTGTTACAGTGCAGTTTGTTCATTTACAGGATTCCTCGTCAAATAGAACAATCTTATTGGACTTCGGAAATGGACTTCGCTGTCGGATACCGCTATCGGGTTTAATACTCAAATAATCAATCCATTATTGCATTCGTGAAACGGCTAGCGGGTTCATTAATCAAATGATCAATTCATTATTGCGTTCTTGAAACGACTAACGGGTTCAATATCAATTCGTTAATGTAATCTTGAGGGGTACGCTTCACTTAGTTTGACTGTAATATGTTAGTTATTGCCGTTAATGGATTTTACACCCAAAGTCACACACAGTACGCTTGGGCCGCCTGTGAGTTGACCGGTAACACAACACGTGTTGCAAAGAAGGTCGCCAAAACGGCGTTAAATGGGCCGTAAACGACAAAGAAGGTACGGAAAAAAGGAAAGGAGACTTCATACGATATATTCCTCGCTTTTATTTTCCTTTCTAATGTTTTCCTAATTTTTTTTTCATAATTTTTCCTATTTTACAGTTGACTGTTGACACCGCAGGCGTTACAAAGCAAGTCGCCAAAACAGCGTTAAAACAACCATTGGCAACAAAGCGGGTACGGAAAAAAAGTAACGAGACTTCGCATGTTTTATTCCTCGCTTTTATTATCCTTCTAAATTTTTTCTTAATTTTCTTTTTAAATTTGTCCTTTTTTTAACGGCCCACACGTACGCTTGAAATTCGATCTCAATATGTTAGTTATTTACCGTCAATGTAGTTTACATCCCAAAGTCACACAGTACGCCGCCTGTGTTCATATGGCCTTGGAAGACAAGGCAAGCAAAACACGACAGCACAACAACAAGGCAAGGTAAACTTGTAGGTATCGAGCATAGTTTGTGAAAGACATTCAATCTTTGTACTCGACTTCAATGTATCAAGAGGTTTTTGAATTGATATTTGCTGAAAGGTGACCGTGGCCTATCCAAACTCGAAAAATTATAACATTTCGGCGTTCTCAAATAATCGTTACTATGAAGCGGCCTTTGTGTGTTTCGTGAGTCCTGACGTGACATTATTTTACGGGTACGAACACTCTTTATTTTATCCTTACGACTCGTTTTTTATTATTGATATTTTATTTTACCCTCAGTCTGCAATTTACCTCTAGCCTGCAATCTACCTCGAGTCTGCAATCTGCAGTCTGCATCTTAACCTCAGTCTACATTTTACCCCCGGTCTGCAGTCTACGCATCCTCGGAGACCCAGGGACTGTGAGTCGATTTCAAGTTAAGTGCAGAAGAGCCCCTGGGGACATTGTCTAACAAGACTAGTTCCAAACGGTCGCAGTCGTTCTGGCATCTGATTGGTGCCAGAAAATCTTTGTGTTCTTCTGCCCAATCAGAGTGAAGTGTCCTTTGGAGTACTTTCGTGTGTTTTAACACACACATATACAACAAGCTCTGTTGCTCGCTATGTTTATTTGGGCCGTGCGACGAAGCTTTGCCCGTGGTGAAAAGTTTCAGTCTCAGCACACAATGTACGTAAGAGAAATCGATCAGATTGTCCGCGAAATCTTACCGGAAATTATAC